ACCAAGGGTTCAAGTAGAAACAGTTTTGAAAATAATGGCAACATATGTATAAATATGCTTGGTACAATTGATTATGGATTGTTATAAGAGCTGTAAGAGCTCCCAATAAAATGATTTATATCTATATAAATTATGTATATAATATATATAGTTATATATAATACAGAAAGACAGTAAATAGGCCCAATGTGGTAGCATTAAAGGTTGGAAGGATGTAATGAGATTTTGGATATTTTTGAAAATAAAGCCTAAAAGATGTTGTGGCTCGATACTTTGAGCTGTGAGAGAAAGGAAGTCTATAATAATTCTGTGTTTGGGATTTGGCAAGGTTCGAGTTATGTTGGAGGTTCGAGTTATGTTGATGAGTTATGTTGCTATTTGGAGGCTCAAGTTATGTTGATGAGATGGAGAAAACTTTGGGATGCCATCTTTGGGCAGCGTTGTACAGTTTAGAAATGCAATGTTCAAGATGTTCATTAGACATGGATATTTTGGTTTCAATTAAACTGTTAAGTGATTTGACAGCTCAGGAGAAAGGCCGTGTGTGTGTGTGTGTGTGTGTGTGTGTGTGTGTGTGTGTGTGTGTGATTTAAACTGAACTATAGGAGATTATGAAAAGAATAAGCATGGACCGAGAAAAGAAGTGGTCTAAGGACTCAGACTTGAAGCACTATAACTTTTTTAAAGTGGAGAGGAGCTGAGAGAGACTTCGCTACAGAATTGGGAAAGAGTGAGATTGATGAAAGATGAGAACAGTGAGCTGTTAGGAAAACAAATCAAGGATGTAGAGGAAGGAATGATCATTTGTCTCAAGATGAGGACAGGTAATTGATCTTTGACAATTGGATTTGGTAATGTTGAGGCATTAGTGACCTTGATTAACGTAATTTTGTTGGTATGGTAGAAGTAGAGGCTTGACTGCAATTAAATGGAATTGAGGAAGAGAAATTGGAGGTATTGAATATAGATCAGTTTTTTTGTGGATCAGTGAAGCAGAATAGTAGCTGTAGAGGACACAAGGTCCGATGAGGTGTTTGAAGATAACTAAACAAGCAAACAAACAAAACAAAAAAACCCAAAACTCACAGCCACTGAGTCCACCCACAGCCTATTTGTATATTGGAGGAACTGAACAAGTTGAGGATTAAATATCAATAATGCAGGAGAAAAATGGGATGCATGTTGGAATGATGTCCACGATTAGGTTGAATTTTCAGTTTGCTCTCTACTTCAATATTCCAAGCAGTATTTACACATTCCCTGCAATTTCTCTCCTTGAAAGAAAATTCTCCAGAAACCTCATATTCCCTTCCAGTTCTATTCCACTAATCTCCTTAACATCCAAATTTCTTGAAAGAATTCCCTGCAAACTTTGAACTTTGATACCTTAATTGACTCTGTTGCATAGTCCCTGTGGCTTCTATTTTTATTCGTCCATTGTAACTAACTGCTCTTGTTACATTTACCAGTGACCTTCATGTCACCAATTGCAGTACACTATTACCAGTTTTTAAATGATTCTTCCAGTAGCATAATCCACCTCATCCCCAAAGCAGACTTGGGAGCCATTAATGACTTACATCCTTTTCTCTTTCTGTAGAATTCGTTCAATAAATGACATCAAATGTATTTTACTTGCAAAATGTCTTACCTCTACCTTGTTCATGTCTTCCTCATCTCTTATTTTTGTTTCTTCAGGCATTTTATAATTGGTCTCTCCAATCTGACTCTTATTTTCCACTCTTGTTTCTCACTCCCACTGGACCCTTCTCTTTTCTCCTCAAAGTAATACCACACTCAGTGGATTAGAGTTCAACTCAAGGTAATTAAATATGTGCCAGGGTAGAACTGTATACCATAGTATTTTAAATGCCTGCTATTTTTCAGATATAGATTGTCAGGCTTCTGGGTGGGTGTGAACCTCTAATCTTTTGGTTAGTAGCAGAGCATGTTTGCACTATCTATCCATGGAGTTCTCATAGCTGTCCATTTTATACATACATGAGTCTATTCCAAACAAATCCTGTTTAAACACGTCTCTACAATCAGTGGATGGCAGCAGAGAAGTCCTCTCAGCAATATACTCATACCTGTTTTAGTTTTATTCGGGTGCTTTTAGAGAAAATGGGCCAATCGAAACAGTGGCCCATGAAGTGATCTGCTGGACCAGTTATGTCTGAGACAGAAAGGTCATCTCAGAAGGTTATGGTGAATGGGTTTTGGGACTCCAAAGGGGTATTGTTGGTAGATTTTCTCAAAAGACAGTGCAATCGTGGATTAGGAAGATGTGTAAAGAAAGTGGAAAACAGCATTGGAACAAGGACAGAAAAGTTACACTGAGATTTTCACACACACACCCCGCATCATGACAATGCATCTGCTCATTCTTTGGAGGTCTTTCATTGGGAAATGTTTATCATCCACCTTTCAGCCCTGATCTTGCCTCTTCTGACTTCTTTTTGTTCCCAAACTCCAAGAATATTGAAAAGGAATTATTTTAGTTACTTGAGGGCTCCAGACTGTTTTAATGGAGTGTAAATCAAAGCAGGCAGAATTCTTGGAGACAGGTTAGAAAGAGGGAGGCATCACCTTCAAACGTAGACAGACCCAAATCAGGATGTGCTGAGAAAAAGTAACTTCACATTTTGTGTTTAATGAAGGGTCCTATTTTGTAGCAATACTTTTTGATTCCATCCTGTACTTGGATACCTTTCAAACTTTTTTCAATGTCCTGAAAAGCTCCTAAGATGCTCTCTAGCCTTATTTAAGTTATTCTCTCTTTTACTCGTTTCATTTTGTTCTTACTTAAATTTCTTTTTATCCAAGGATCAAGTCATCTTTCAGGGTCTTGGACTCAAATCTGTGCTTCTTTCTGCCTGCAACTCTCTTTCCTCATCTTCCATTCTTTTCTTCCATAAATTCCATGCCTTCTTTGTCTCCCTCTTCCTACTCCATCTCTCCAGTTCCCTGGCATCAATTTCCTATATAAACAATTTACACCCAAGACGAGGTTGCAGGATCTCCCTGCAGGAGGGCCTACAGAATATGACTGCCTCCAAGAATTCTTCCCTGAGATCACAAAGTATAATAGTTGAATTGTTAACATCTTAAATAGCACCCTGTATTTTCCCTTGCAAGGAGTGGGTGTTAGTGAGATTTGTAGCATTATGTGTACATTAAAAAGAAAAAGAATGACTCCCTCCCTAGATGGAAAGTCCTATGGGTTCATTGCTATTTCTTTTTTTCTATTCAGCTCCTATATTTAAAGCACACGATTGCTGTTGTTGCATGAATGAATGTATAAAGTAGGGGGAAAAGAAGTGAAAGCATGGGGGAAATTATGGAAAAGAAGAAAATAAAGAAACTAACCTGAAAAATAAAATAAAATGTTGATGTTTTGGTTATGCTTTGGTATACACATTCATAGCTGAGACAAATTGGAAGATGATTTTCAAGAAAATTGCTGAGGAGAAATTAGATTGTGGTATGATTTCTTAGGTTCATCTTTGTATAACCCTCGGTGCTTTGCTTTGCTTGAAAATATTTTCAAGCTTTGCTTGAAAATAAAGTGGAATTGATTAATAATTGAGTAATAAATTATATGAAGAAATCTCATGGAGAGAGTGCTTTTGTTTAAAGATTGTTTAGGAAATCCTGGAACAGAGTGGTTTGTCCCATTTCAAATATATATTTTTTATCACTAGATTCACTGTGATTCTAACTTCTACCCAGTTTTACTTTTTCTAATTGCTTTCAGGCTATGGGACCAGGAATTAATACACAAAAAGAGCTGGGGGGGGGGGGTATAGGTGGTGTCTCTGATTACCAGTATTTCTCTGTGGTCCCTAAAAGCTTTGCTTCTTCCTTCAGTCAGATCTTGGAAGCACAGCCCCATTTTTAAAATTAGGGCCTATGAAAATAATGGCCATTGTTGCTACATTTCTCATAAAGATGCAGGTTCTCAACACAATTGAATTTTTCTTTGATTTGTGTCTTTCATGATTGCAACCCAGTAAAGCGGCAGGGCTTATCTATTTAATGGGCTCGGGTATAAACAAAATTATAAAAATATGATTTTAAGGGTAATGCTGTCCATGGGAATTACACTGGCCATCGGTGGAGTCCTTCTTCCCTGGCAGGTAGCACAGGTAAATTTCATGTACATACTGGAAAGTATGCACGTGGCAACAGTGACAGACTCCGTTTTACAAGTCACAGCATCAGAACGTTTTATATTACCAGCTATGCCTTTGCAGTGAAATTCTCTTACAAATAAATACCTTCTCCCATATTTACAGTGTTCCTCTTATCTCTCTGCCAAGTGAGCATCTTGGTTATCAAGCCGACTTTAAACTGTACATTAATCCCACACGTGAATGAAGCAGCGCCTTCATGTCAGTCCAGAGGGGGCTGCACCTTCCCAAATGTGGAGGAGTGTGCTTATCGTATTCTGGTGCTAACTTTCAAAACGCCTTTGAAAGCTGTAGTACATGTAGCAGTTGAGGCGCCCGGACTCAGGATGGTCGGCATCTTCTCGGGAAGCCATCTCTTCTCTTTCTGTCCCCGCGTGACCTGTCCCGCTTCTCTGTGCAACAGGTGGTCGCATTGGAAGCGCTGCCGCTTTCCACAAGGCAGCTCCTGCAAAGAGCTCCTCTTTGAGCGCTCCTGGGGGTTCCGCACTAGAACCGGGCATGCTCAGTAGCCAAAGCAGGTTGGGATAGCGAAGCCGCAGCTTTTGCGCTACAGTTTCAGAGCACCAAGAGGAACGGCTCTGGACCTTCTCTAGATGGAGCCCGGCGAGGATCAGCCCCCCCAGTGCGCCGGTGCCTCCCGGGGCGCGGGTGTGCGCAGGCGCCGACCGTGAGAACCCGTGCGCGAGGCTCCGAGTGCAGCTCTGAGAGCGCGGCGGCGGCGGCGGCGGCGGCGGCGGCGGATCCCGACTACCGCTCAACGCCTGCACTGCCGAGCCTCTGCCTGCAGCCGGCGGCGGTACGGCACGCGGCGCACCGTTTCTCGCTTACCTGGCTTAAGGGGGTCGCCACCTCACCATGTCACCCAGGACCCGCTGAACTAGTAATGCCTGAGAATGTCAGCGTTGAGAAAGGTAAGCGCTGCGTGCGCCCGGAGGGCTCTCCGGTACCTGGGAGAAGGAACGGGAGAAAGTCCCGAGGCCGGCGAGTGCCGTCGAGCTGGGCGCAGGGCAGGCTTTTTTGGCCGTGAGGGGTTGTTGTTGCAGCTGTCTCCGGTGATTGGGGGGCTGCCTTGGGCATGTTGGGGAGTTTGTAGAGGGGCGAGCACCATTTGGCGTGGCTTGGGGCCAGTAAAGTCTGAAGGACACACTGGAAATCCCTGGAGGGGCGGCTTGGGCGCGGAGAGGTGGTGGCGGTGTGTGGAGGTGAGAGAGGGAGGCGGTGGGCGTCTTCTGCCACTTCTGGGGGCGTCGGCATTGGGCGCCCTGGCTGCAGCGCGGACCAGTTGTCCGCTGCGACCTGCACGCTCCCTGAGGGGCTGGAGTTGGGCCAGGGAGACCCCAGAGCGCCCCATAGCCCGGGTCCAGGTGCGCCATCCAGGAGCGTCTCCCGGCCTCCCGAACGCTGCGGGTGCCTGTGATCCCTGGGACCGAGATGCAGCTTGGTGGCCACAAAGAGCCGAAGGAGCCCCTGAGGGTGGGGGATCCAGGCACCAGGGCCTGGGGAGATTCATCCCCCGCAGCGAGCCCAGAGCCGGGGGACTTGAAGGGCTTGCGCGCTGGTGGTCCGAGGGTCCCCGGGACGTCAGGCTCCACAGAGGATGGAGGAAGCCGGACGCCGGGAGCCGGGCGCTGCCAGGGGTGTGAAATTCCCAGCTGTGGCCAGGCGGTTAGAAGGGGGCTGCAGGAGAGATGTCAGTAAGCAAGCGCAGCCCGAGGGGCAACTGGCGAGCCAAGGGTCTTCAAACCTGGCACTCCTGTGGGTAGTCCAGAGGGAATGGGGCACTGGGGTTAGCAAACTGCATTTCCGAAAGAAAAACCCGAATCCTTCATAGTCCCTCCCCCCCTCCCTGAACAGTGCCGAGGTGGGAAAACGCCGACGGGGCCTGGGAATGAATGAAAGCTCCTGTTGGAGAGCCCAGTTGCGCTTGTGGTCTCGGTGGGGCAGAAGGGGGAGGGGGTGGCAGGAGGCAGCTTCTGCCGTGGTGGCGGTGGTGGTCTGGAGGAGGTGGGCGGGGGACCAGAAGGGGTGCGCGCGGGGGTGCAGCGTGGTGTGCGCGCCGGGAGGGGGTGGCAGCCGCCCCGCTCTCCAAGTGTGAGCGCAGAGCACTGGGGCTTTTTTAAGGGTGGTTGCTATGCAAGGCGCTACCCAGCGCCGGATTTTGTAACTAAGCCTCCCCCGGCAGCGGCTGTTGCTGTTCGCTGGGCTTGTTCGCTAACGATTGCAGGAGAAATAATGAGGATGTAATTATTACAGCCCTGGCGCTGTCAAGAGGTGGGGGGCGGAAGGGACAGGCAGTCTCTATGGGCCAGGTGCGCGTGGTCAGGGGTAGGGGAACCCCTCCTCACCTCTGCCCCCCATTTTTTGCACGGGATGTTCGGTACCACTGAGAGGCTTTGGAGCCAAACCGGACTTGGGGATCTGAGGTGGGGGTGGGGCGGACTTTGGGAGAAAGAGTTTGGTGATGAAGGGTGTGTTGGAGTAAGAGGAGAAGAATGCAGGTAAGTGGGCACTGGAAAATAAACAGTTCCTGAGGGCTGTTTATTTGCCCTCAGGAACTAAAAGACATCTTCCCTTCCATTTGGCTCTTCCACACTTCTTAGGGAATTTTATCCCAGCTGCTTGTATGCTGCTTTTCTCAAATGAATGGCGATTCTGGCAGCCAGGGCTTCGAATTCTGAATTCGTGACTTATCAGTGGTAGCTGTCTTGTATTGATTAAAAATAAAGCTATTGGCAGTGAATTCATCCTGTGTTTATTAACTCTGCCAGCACTGGCTGTGGGTGGTTGTAGAGCTCGAAATATAAAACACTACTGTTTTTTTGGTTCTCCCCCCCACCCCCACCCCTGTCATCTCGGGACTTAGAGGCAGGAGAGACCACAGGTTAGAGATTTAAGAAATAGATTTCCTTGAAGAAATGTCCCCTTGGTGGCCTTGAATTTTTACGAACGGTAACCAGGTCCCTCTGTATCTTCATGGAACAATGCATTTGAGTGGAAGTATATGGACTCTAGCAATCTATGATTTCAAAGAGATTATTATTTCTTGATAAGCCTGGGTGGCGCTAAAGCCACTGGCCACAGTGAGGAAGAAACGACCTGGCAATTTGCTCCCCTCAAAGACTTCAGACTGGAATATCCTACCAGCCATATACTCAGTAGGAGTCAGCATTGATAGGGAAGTACACCACCACAGCAGCAAATAATAACTTGTTTGTAGATGGCACATATTAGTTGTATTTGTAATTAGAAAATAATTTGACATCTCAGCACGGCCTGAAGGATTCAAGATACCATATTCAAAAGGATTCTTTTTTTTGTATGTCTCAAAGGTGACAACAGGATCAGTTAGTCCCCTTTGGAAGAAACATCATTTAGATTTGAGGTTAATATATATTAACACAATTTTGATTTGATTTTCTTTATTTTCTCTAAAAAAGATAATGAGTAACCAAGGCAGAAAAGGTGAAAGAATGAAAAAAATGATAATTTTGGCAGGTCAGCTTGTTACTCTGATGTTTCTTTAAAAATGTCATTAATCAGGATTTTCCAGTAGCCAAATTGTCTTGTGCAGGCGGCTGGGTGACTCACAGTTTTGGCTCTAATAGTAATTGTAGAGTATGCATACCATTTCCTTTTAGATGGTATTTTTTCCATTGCTTGGAAGAGAACAAATTAGAATATTTTATACCCCACATCTGGCAATATAACTAGCAGACTATGGGGAGTTCTAGCTGCTCAAGCACATCTGGGCTGTGAGAATTAAGAACCTACAATGAAAGAAAATGGTTAAAATATAGTCCTATCTAAATCAAATTACTCTTTCCTGCCATTGCTTCAGAAATTATATCCAATGTCATGAATTCAATGAATGTGGGATCTATTCCTCAATGGTAGCCTAGCGAGGGTGCCCTACTTTGTATGTGTAAACCATTCCTGCCTCGTCATGAACTCTCCCTCAGAATTTTCTGTTCTTGGGTAAGAAGTCAATAAGGTTTGAATGACTATTAGCCTATCATCTCAAATTTTATATTTCATTTTAGCTTAAAGGGTAAGCTTAATAAGCAAAATGTGTTATACATGAGATAGTCCAAAGTAATGCACTAATTAGAGCATTCTTGTGACAAAGATCTTTTCCCAGAGAAGCATTCAAAGTCAATTTTTCATACTGTCTGTGTTAGACCGGGTAGACTAGAGAAACAAATTTGAGGTTAATTGACATTGACACACATGTGTATAAGGAAAAGGTTTATATACAAGAGGAATCATACATTAAGAAAACATCCCAACCCAGTCCAGTCCAGTCCAAGACTATAAGTCTGATATTAGCCCATATGTCCGATATCAATCTATAAAGTCCTCTTCAGACTCATGAAACACATACAATGAAGCCAAATGCAGGACGATCATAAGCCAGTGGGTAGAAAGTCTTTGGGTCCAGTGGCGTTGTAAGTATCTCAGCACTGGCAGGAGTCTCTCTGTGGCTTCTCCGGCTTCAGAGGTCTGATTGCATCCGTGTGGCTTCTCCAGCTCAGGGCACTAGTGTAGTTCCATGTGTCTTGTCAGCTACAATGTTCTCCAGGGAGTGGCAGAGAGAGAAGTGTCTCTCCCTCCAAGGAGTAAGTCCTGGATTTCCCAGAATTCTCAGGAGAAGACCATGCCCACACAGAGGCCTCATTGGCTATGATCTGATTGATGGGCTAGCCTCCACCTCTACACTCTTAATCCTCAAATTGACAATTATATAACTACCACACTGTCAAATATTTATTTTTCTTTTAAAAAACTTTGCACTTACATTATATTTAACCCAAGTGGTACTGGAGACAGAAATAAACATTATTTACTAATATTTGCACATGCTTTTGGTTTCTTGTGATCTAGTTGATTAACAATATTTCCTTTATTATTGTAGAATTCAGATTTTGTTGCACTCTTTTCCCCTAATGACATGCTTTCCTATAGCAGTCTATTGCTTTTCTTATTTTCCCCACTTTGTTTTTGCAATTGGTAGAAATTACAAATAAAATATTAAAAGCAAAAGTATTTCACAGCATTTAAATTACATTTGATTTCATTTACCCAGAACCGACAAATATTCTAGAGCCTAGTGTTTTTTATTTGTTGGGGGATTTGAATTTCTCTATTTTAACATATTATTTTCCATAATATACTACATGATCAAAATGAAGAAATGCTGTTACTGTTTTATAACTATATTGGGGGGGAAATTTGATATCTCGCCTTCCCAACAAATTGGTTGATGTATACTTTGATTATAGGTTTTGAAAGGACATAAATTAGATGTATTGTTTATTGACTCTTGGAATGAATACACCAAGATCATTAATTGACTACAATAACAATAACTATGATTCATCATGTTGGCCAAATGAGAGTCATATTTAGAGTATTGCCAGGATGTCTTAAAAAAAATGTGTAGGCTACCCTATAGGAAGATAGTGGGTAAAATGTCTATAAGTTATTCTTAACCAAACATATTTTTTCTACTAGTTATTTTTAATTATATAAGCACATTCCTACCAATTGCCAACTTCTCTATGTTTTGTTAGATTAAGCATTCAGTCAATGTTTCATATTGTTGTCTAGATATGTGTGTGTACAAAGACAGCATAGTAATTTCATGTGAACTCATGACAATATTCTAATTTTTAGGGAAGCTAAAAGATGGACTTTGACATCATCCAAGTGTAGATAGAGATGGTAGGGTTTGCAGACTCCACTTTAAATTCCGGATCTGATGGTAGAGGGGTTGTAACTTTTAAGCTCAGCTTTCTTTCCAGGACTTAATAGCAATGACACATAACAGTAATCTCCTTGGCCAACATAAATTTAGGTTCATATGTCAGGGTCTTCTTTTTCTTTTTTCATGCCAATAGTAGATGAACTGGTT